GTCAAGCTGTAATGTTTCCAGTATATCGCATTTATTCATAAATGAAGTATGTGACGTGATGATAATAGGACTTTCAAACGTAATACTTAAGGATATAGTTAGTGAATGTAAAAAACATTGAACCCTTTTCTTTTGAAACCTTGAAGTCCGCTTAGCAGATGGTTCCAGTTCTAATGAAGGGCGTGTAGAAGTATACTCTAACGGCGACTGGGGCACTATCTGTGATGACTACTGGGACTTGAATGACTCGGCTGTCATCTGCCGGGAGCTTGGTCTCGGAGGTGCTTTACGGGCCTTGACTGGGGCTGTCTTTGGTGGCGGCTACGGGCTGGATATACTCCTGGATAATGTTGAATGTACGGGTGATGAAGAGACTGTGTTCAATTGCTCACACAATGGAGTCGGGATTCACAACTGCGGACATTACGAGGATGCTGGGGTCAGATGTGGTACGTTTACCAAAAACTAAAGACGGAGAAACTTTTGCAGCTTTTGCCACATGAAAAAACCGCGACAGATTTTGTTTGGAGAGGCGTTTCAAAATTTGGGGTCCCACTTTTAACAAGTGCTCATGATGGGTTTCTTGTTTTAAGTGCCGTTGCATCAGCACAATGTGTTGTACGTGAATATGTTTCTACCATCACGATGAACTAAATCAAGTTGTTAAAAATCAGGTCATTTGCGGGAGTAAATGGATGGCAGTGGAGTTCCTTATTTAAAGGGCGCCTGGCACAGTTACTGCTTAACATTCAGAAGTAAATATAAATTAACATTGTGCACTCAATCATGAGACCTGTGTTCCTCTGTAATAGGTAGACAACCTTATCATAATGATATTTCTTTTACCTCAAAGGTGAGATTCGTCTCGTTGGCGGTGACACTCACAACGAAGGCCGCTTAGAGATCTTCACTAATGGCCAATGGGGCACGGTATGCGATGACTCGTGGGGATTTCAGGACGCCCAGGTGGCTTGCAGGCAGCTTGGCTTCCCCGGTGCCATCAGGGCTGCCGAGGGAGGATTATTCGGAGTTGGTACTGGACCAATACACCTGGATGATGTATCATGCACTGGTCTCGAAAACAACCTCACTAGTTGTCCTCACAGAGGGATCGGGGTTCATAATTGCACGCATGACGATGACGCAGGCGTCAAATGTAACCCATCAAGTAGGCACTATTTATGTGTAGTCAATCTTCAGGCTTATCACAGTAATTGCCTCATCTTCATGTAGAACCTATTGTTGCTTGTAAGGGTATCAAATAAACCATTGTACTGTGTTATACAAGTTTTGTAAAAGTAAAACGTACAAGACAGGAAAATGGAGCTAACATTTCATAAACATGAGAATAATTTCTGTACTCCAACATCTACCCAATTTTCAGTTTAAGATTTAAGACAAATTTAAAAACTCATGGAGAAATCTAAACCTACTGCATGTTTTGCTTTGAAAGTTCGACTGGTGGACGGTTTAAGCTCCAACGAAGGCCGCGTGGAGGTGTACTACAATGGCGCTTGGGGAACAATTTGTCATGACAGCTGGAGTCTTAACGATGCTAGAGTCGTCTGCCGGCAACTGGGCTACTCCCGAGCCATGCGAGCTCTTACAGGGGGTGCCTTTGGAGAGAACTTTGGGCTGCAGATTCTACTGGATAATGTTGCTTGTAGGGGCAGAGAAGAGACTCTTTTCGATTGTAGACACAATGGTGTTGGCATTCACAACTGTGGACATCAAGAGGATGCTGGCGTCCGATGTGGTAAGCACAGCCCGTGAATGAAACGTTACTGCAGCTTGATATTAAACACAACTTTTTAAATATAATTGTAGCCTTGTAATTTAGCTACAACCGAAGTCTTCACTGTTTGAAGACATGCTTGGAGTGGTTGTGTACTTGCGGTACGAATAAAAAACAGAAGAAGCTTTCCCCGGGAACTTGCAGGATAGTGGGGGCCGCTGTCCAATATGTTGCTCACTGTGGGCGCCCTTTCCTGTGCTACTTTTTTCCCGAACTCGGGATGAACTGGATGCTATGTGCCCTTTTCTTAGAGTAAACCAACAAAGAACCCTATTCATAAGTGGGTCAGGGAGGGGAGTCAACCAGAAAAAAATGACCCCTTACCCTCTGCTTGAAAATTCTGGTTCTGCCCTGAAATCTGCTGAGAACTAGATATTAGTTTAAGATGGAGGTCAGATAGAAATAAGACCCTCTTGTAATACTAGAATAAGGTCTTCTCAGCTATTCATCCGGTATTTCTCAATGCACAGTAACTGGTAAACCTGGAAGAGCCTCAAGCTAGACCAAGAGAGGGCGCAAATTTCCTTGAAATGGAGACTCCGGCTTTGGCAGGAACTGCACGTCGCTGGTTCACGAAAGACTATGAAATGCACGCGTTACGATCTCATTGCGACCAATCAAACGAGCTCCCCCCCCACAAACATGGCGCGTTTCAACTGTGGAGGGGGAGTCCTTCTGCTCAAGGTGGATTAGGTACCGAGGCTATTACGTCACGCCCACAAATACATGTTTGTACAAGGCATTAACGCGAAAACTAGCAATGAACCAACACGCGCACGTTCTCCACTCGTTTGTACCACCCTGCGGTACTCAGAATTAAAACTCAGAACAACCAGAATTAAAACTCATTACTGCCGGGGAACAGTGCTCATAGACAGGTGGTACGCGCGTGTTCCCTCCACGACCAATAGGGTATTGTTCTTTGCCAAATGCACGCGCGCGTCCGGCTTGGCTCCAGAGTGTGCGTGAGAATGCGATGCCACTGCAGTTGTGGCCTGTTATTGGATTAGTCTCTTCTTTCCTAGTCTAAACAAACGACGAGCACTAATTGCACTAGCAGATACGAGTTGCGAATCAAATCTCACCCCCCATGACCCCTATCCCGGAAATCCGGCTCTGACTCTGCCCGTGCCCCTCGCCCTATCCCTTTAAGCGGCATTCCTTAATGCAAAATAACTTCCTTCCAAACCCGTACATCTATAAGGTCAACATTGCGATAGACCAGAATCCTTATCAAATGCGCTCTCAGCCGTTTACTGGCTTCCCTGTCCACGCCTCGCCCCATCCCATTCAGCAAGACGGTTGGAGCCTAATATTTTTCTCGCTTTCTTTTTCCACAGAGCCGTGTGACAGTGACCCTTGTTTGAACGGTGGGATTTGTAGCAGTTTCGTTAGTGGTTTCACGTGCAACTGTAGCATGGGATACAGTGGACCTACTTGTGCATTTGGTAAGTATACCTAAATGAAAGAATGAAAGTAGACTAAAATTACGTAGAATAGAAAGACTATGCAAATCTCTGAACTCATCTTATAACAATTAAAAACGCCAAATGTTGTTTCTTTCGTCAAGATATCAATTCGTCGGAAAATAGGAATATAATACTCTCACGCTTCTGATCAACTACACGTACTTTCTGATGGGGGTGCCGAGTATTACAAAAAGAATGTTTCCGAAAGGCATTTGCTAGGATAGGAACGTCTAGCCTTCTAACCTTATGATGGAAAAGCGGAAATGCCACGTAGACAAACTTATATTTATCAAGTGTTTTCTAACCATTCAAACGTGTGCATCATAAGTTAATCAGCTTTTCATTTGGTTAAGTGTATTAGTCAAAAATATGGACGTTAAAAATGGATTTAAGTAGGTACACAAGTCTGAGGAACGCAACTAACATTAAAATTTCTTAACTTTGGACGTCCGCTTAAAACGTCCCCCAGCTGAACTCCGTCTTGTCAACGGGAGCAAGCCTTATGAGGGGCGTCTTGAAATCTTCCTCAACGGCACGTGGGGTTCAGTGTGCGGCGACCAGTGGGGCATACATGACGCGCAGGTGGCATGCAGACAGCTCGGTTTTCCCCAGGCTGTGGCAGCCACACCGGGTGGTTCGTACGGAAGCGGCACGGGGCCAGTTTACCTGGATGACCTCGTGTGCACCGGTCGGGAAGGCAATCTGGAGAGTTGCAGGCACAACGGGCTCGGAGTTCATAACTGCAGCCACACCAACGATGCGGGGGTCATTTGTTCTCCACGAGGTATTACTGCAAACATTGATGAGATATAGGCCATCAGTTTCAGAAATAATGTTTTCGGTAACTGAACCGGGAAATACTAGATAACTCTATTCCAATGTTTTGTCTTTCAGAGGAGTGCTGTCTGTAATGTTACGAAGAATAAGATGTTGAGGGCTTATTGAGAGAATTATTTGAACATACAGAGCATAAGGAATAATAACCTTTCAGGCTAACAAGTTCAAAATCAAAACCTATGTTGTTGAAATAGGCCTATATTGTTGTTTAAATAAATATTGGTTGGCAGACATGGTGACACAATGCTGGCAATTTAACGTTGCCTGTCTTCATGCAATATTTATCTTGACATCAAATATATAGATTATGCAACAAATGTAACAGAGGTCACAAGACAGAGACGAAACAAACAACACCTTTTCACCTCATTTTTGTTTCTTCACAAAGTTCGCCTAGTCGATGGTTCGAACCAAAAAGAAGGACGTGTGGAGGTGTTCTCAGGGGTTGCCTGGGGGACTGTGTGTGATGATGGCTGGGACCTGCGCGATGCCACTGTGGTCTGCCGGGAGTTGGGTTTTGGCAGAGCAGTACGGGCGCTGAAAGGGGCTGCTTTCGGTCAGAATAGTGGTTTACCGATCGCGCTTGGTAACCTTGCCTGCTCGGGTGATGAACAGACTATCTTAGACTGCCGACAAGGTGCTCTGGGAATCAACTATTGCTATCATTCTGAGGATGCTGGGGTCCAATGTGGTAAGTTTAAAAAGCGAAGAATTTGTGAACCAAATATTTTCAGAAATTTTCTGCAACCTTAGCAGCCATTCAAGACAGTTGTTCTAGTATTGAACGGAATTCATTGGAAATGTCTAAATCATTATCTACCGATTTTGCAACGTACACATATTTATACCAAACTAAATCTATATCAACCAAGTCAAATGGAATTAGTTATTAGTCAAATCTTGAGGGAGATCTTCCCAATAAGTGGTTAACTGTTACATTTTCCCAACTTGACGAATGGAGAGTCGGGTAAGTTCATGCGCAAACAGCTACTTAACGTTATGTCATTATTGACAGATTCCTTTCATTAGAAAATTTACCCTTTAATTATGAAACAAAATAGGAAAAATGTTCTATTCAGAGTCACATGTATGGAGCAGTTTAGGACATTGAGGAAAGGTTTAATGTATCGAATACATTTGTAATGTAGATTTATTTTAAGACATTCAAATGTTTTTCAATATTTGTATTCTCCGCGAAGATAACATTCGCCTTAGTGGTGGCAACAACTTCAGCGAAGGCCGGGTAGAAGTGTTCGTCAACGGTCAGTGGGGCACAGTGTGTGACAGATCATGGAATATAGAGGATGCCCGGGTAGCTTGCAGACAGCTAGGGTTCCCAGATGCCATGGAGGCTATCCAAGGAGGATCATTTGAGGGTGGAAGTGGACCCATTCATTTGGCGGATCTCGGTTGTGCTGGAACTGAGTCAGACCTGCCAAGTTGCCCCCATGCCGGTGTCCAAAACTGTTCTCACGATGACGATGCGGGCCTCAAATGCATTCCAAGGGGTAAGTGATCTCGTTTAACACTTGCCAGCTGAAGATGGATTTCAACTTGATGAGGAGTATTTGCATTTCTGGTGTGTGTAATTTCAATGTCTTTTGTTGCCATTAAAAGCTTATCATTATTTATTTCCATCCAGTTCCTGTTAGTTAATACTTATAGATTTTAATGTTTTCTTAAAAGTTTAATGGAAGAAAAAAGTGAAATCTTGAACTGATAATTACAGTACTGTTGTCTGTTTATGTGAAGTTCGTTTGGTCAATGGTGCCAGCTCCAACGAAGGTCGGGTAGAGGTTTATTGGAGCGGTAGTTGGGGAACAGTTTGCAACGACTTCTGGAGTTTTAACGACGCACGAGTCATCTGCAGGGAATTAGGCTTCTCCAGAGCTCTACGCGCCATCACCGACGGCTCCTTCGGTGGGAACTACGCACTTGACATATTTCTGGATAATGTCTTCTGTACCGGGACCGAGGTGACAATCTTTGATTGTCCGCACGCCGGGCTTGGGGTTCACAATTGCAGACATCATGAGGATGCCGGGGTCCGATGCGGTAGGTTGTCGGATTTTATTATGTTTGCGGTTGTGGCTGAAATCTGTGTCTCCTAGTGGAAGGGTATACAGGGGCGTATCGGGGAGAGACAAGTTCGTGCCTTTTTTGTTTGTTTCACAAAATTAAAGCCAGCAACATGGAAGTTGAAGATTCTTCTAACTATGACAAAAATTCTTAAGTGCTCCCCCACCCAAGACTCCATGGACGCATGCGTCACAAGGACGACTAAATTGTTAAACCTTTTCATGGGAATTCGTAAGGGGACAGGGCACCACATGACACCCGCAGTCAGTGTCCAGGAAGCAGATTATTTTTACGTAGAGCGCCTTACATCAAGGCAGTGTTTGTTTCCGTTTAAATGTTACAGTGCATTTTGCTCGCGAATGTTTGAGTTTCTTCCCAGTGTCTAATTTTTGATTGCTACCAATGATTATCGTGTGATAATTGAAGGGTGTGATAAATTTTCGACTTTGCACTCCCGGCTCACTGCAACATCCACCCTCATTAAACTGACATTTGAGTAAGTCTCTTCAAGGTAGTAAGCAGTAAATTAAAGGCATTTAAGTCCATTGCGAAGCGTATATATGCATGTGATTTCTATGTTTGTAAGCACGGCCTGGCTATGTAAAAGCTGTTTCTTGAATATCACGCAACCTCCGTTATCCATGATAGCTAAAGACTTTTTTTTAATTAATAATATAATGGATTTTATGTTTTAATCTCAGAGCCATGTGACAGCGAACTGTGTCTAAATGGAGCCACGTGCACCAGTTCGTATTCGGGACGTTACACTTGCCATTGTCTCACGGGCTTCAGTGGGAGACATTGCGAAAATGGTAACAAATAAAAACCAGATTAGGGTACAGATTCAGATAAAAAGCACATCCTTTGTCAGCATGTTAATACTTTACTCGTCCAATTGCTCGTGTAAACTAAATTATTTTCAACTGTGGATCTCAAAGGCAACATCAATGATCTGAGCTGGGCTCTTTTGGTACTTTGCTTCTTTTAGTATAGTTATTAGTTGGTGCTATAGTCTGGCACATCAAGAGCAGCAGGAATTTAACTGAGGACACCTATTATTGTGTACGATGATTGTTTTGGTTTCAGTGGCCAAGTTTTCAGAAAATGGGCAAATAAAGCAACTGTGTTTTACCCTAAATGCTCCTTTTTGTTACTTTTCGTGATTGGATCAATGTAGTGGTGGCTTTGACAAATTGTCTATCAATATCTTCACCAGCTGAACTACGTCTTGTCGGAGGAAGCACTCGTAATGAGGGTCGGCTTGAGATCTTTCTGAACGGAACGTGGGGCACGGTGTGCGGTGACCACTGGGATCTACGGGACGCCCAGGTGGCTTGCAGGCAACTCGGTTTCCCCAATGTCACGGAGGCCTTAAGAGGGGGATCTTTTGGAAGTGGAACTGGACCGATTTACCTGGATGACCTCCTTTGCACCGGTCGGGAAAGCAATCTGGAAAGTTGCGCGCATAGTGGGGTTGGAGTCCATAACTGTAACCACACTAACGATGCCGGGGTCATCTGTCAACCAAGAGGTATCACTCTTTTCAGACAATGCTTGGATTTTCCTCTCTCTTTCAAAGTTAATATAAGCAACGATCATAAGGCCGATTCTTGACCAATCTTGGTGTACTATTGTCTGTTAGCTGAGAATCTCTGGTTGAGCTATTTTAAGCCAAATGCCCAGAAAAGTCAACAGCATTATAAAAACATTTTTTGGGACTTGGTTTGCCTTTTAAGTTCGCTTAGCAGATGGTTCCAGTTCCAATGAAGGGCGCGTGGAAGTATACTCTAACGGTGTCTGGGGGACTATCTGTGATGACTACTGGGACTTGAACGACGCCGCTGTAATCTGCCGGGAGCTGGGTTTCGGAGGTGCTTTACGGGCCTTGACTGGGGCTTTCTTTGGTGGTGGCTATGGGCTGGATATACTCCTGGATAATATTGAATGTACGGGTGATGAAGAGACTGTGTTCAATTGCTCACACAATGGAGTCGGGATTCACGACTGCGCACATTTCGAGGACGCTGGGGTCAGATGTGGTAAGTTAACCAGACTAATAGCACATCCAGAAAAAAAAATTGTTCAGGGGCCAAACTTTTATGGCTGGGTAAAAATTTGGAATTTGTGTTTGTGTGTATGAAATAGATCACCTTTTCCTTTAATTGAAAAAAATAGGGCTTTTTTGATGGCAATTATCATGTCCCTGTCCCCCTGATCATGCTTGTCCCGGATGAGTTTCCTAAATATTCTACCGTAAAATTCTTTCACGTCTTTTACATTGTGGTCTTTTTCAGTTACTTTTGCCGTTTTTTCACATGCAGCATATTAATGTTCTTCGGTTTTACACTGTACTTTTTCCGAACGACATCTTATATTTTCTTTAATCCTTTATTAGAGAAACTCCGTCTTGTTAACGGCACAATCCCTAATGAGGGCCGACTTGAAGTCTTCCTAAATGGTGAATGGGGCATAATTTGTGGCAACTCTTGGGGATTAGAGGAAGCAGAGGTGAGTTGCCGGCAGCTGGGTTTCCCAGCAGCTGTTGAAGCCACCCAGGGCTCGTTGTTTGGACTTGCCACCGGGCCGGTTCATCTTCGGAACGTAACGTGTACTGGTGTCGAAAACGACTTTGAGAACTGTCAGTATGATACGACCGGCTTTGACAATTGTAATCTCTCAGAAGTTGCAGGAGTCGTGTGTTCACCATCAGGTAAGGCATACCAGTAATAATCATGTTTGGAATATTTTTATGAGATTAAATGAGCTTGAATTTCGCTATGCCAGTAAAATCCCTAAAACCTTAAATGCTCAACTTTTAATCTCACACGATTGTGGACTAAAAGTAAAGAATTTGGTTTTTAAAGAAAAAGAAATTTGGTTTTTCGCATGTGACCATTCACTCTTACATCAAAAACATTTCAAAATGTGTATCATATCACTGGTGGTTTGGTCGTTTTTATGCCTGGTAAAGTTCGCTTGGTTGACGGCTCGGGCTCCTACGAGGGTCGCGTGGAGGTGTACTGGAATGGTGCCTGGGGAACAGTCTGCGATGATTACTGGGGACTGAGCGACGCCACTGTCGTCTGTCGTGAATTGGGCTTCTCTAACGCCATCCGAGCCCTGGGCAGTGCTTTTTTCGGTGGCGGATACGGGCTGGACATACTTCTTGACAATGTTGACTGCACTGGCCAAGAAGACACGATATTCCAATGCCGTCACAGGGGTGTGGGAGTCCACGATTGTAGACATTACGAAGATGCTGGAGTCCGATGTGGTGGGTCGAGTATCCAAAACAGATGTCATGTCTCTCTTTGAACTGAAATGTCTGATTACACTTAACTGATGAGGCTTACAGCTTACATTTCCCCTAAACAGTGGTGCACCACTTTTGCTTTTGTAACAGTTTTAAACCAAACTAATTTTGAGCGAACACTAATTTATTATTTATTATTGGAATATAGACATACAGTCTGTTTAATAAAAAAATGTTATAAAAGCGCACTTAGGTTTAATCACACCGCACCAGTGTTTTGCAAAATTATTCGTAAACCCCGCGCATTATATATGATACAGTGTAACAAAACTTTTAAAGTCCTGATATATCTGCAAACCAGCCACCGTTGTAGAAAAATTTCTCCTGCAGTGACATCTTACAATTGACTTAAATATCACCCTCAATTAACTTTTGGTAGGGGGCAGTTTTTGTGTTTTGTTAACTAAGTACACATATTGGCTCTTAATAATGCCCAAAATATGTCTTTGACATTTCCAAGATCGCACTCATCAAGGTTAAAGTTTTCTCGAAACAATTTGAAAAATGTTTCCTCTATGTTTCATTCTTCAGTGTTCATTCTTTATCTAGCTCCCTGAAGAGAATAATCTCTGTTAATCGGTTTAACGGTGATTTTTTTTTCTTTCAGACCCATGCGGCTATAATCCATGCAGGAACGGTGGGAATTGCACTATCACAAGCAGCGGTTTTAGCTGTCAGTGTTCCGACGGATATACTGGGTTAACATGTAACGTCTGTAAGTGTATGGAATAACGAACACTCCTGAAAAAAAGAATCCTGCCCTTAAAGGCGTAAATAAAAAAAAGCCTCTCTGCAGTGTTGTTTCAAATTCCTTTCTGGAATTCCCATTTGAGGCATTTTATCTACAATTTCACCATAAAGTAAAAACTACGCACTGAAGTACTATAAAGCATTGTGTAGTGACAGAAACACGTTGCCAGTATACATGAGAAAGTAACTGCTACACAAGGAAGATATATTTAAGTTGACTTTGGTGTTATGTTTTCCAGCTGACCTTCGCCTCAACCCTGATGGCCGCATCGAGATTTTCCTTAACGGTGAATGGGGAACGATTTGTGGCAACTCGTGGGACATAGAAGACGCCCAAGTAGCTTGCAGGCAGCTTGGCTTTCCTAACGCTACCTCAGCAATCAAGGGTGGGATTTTGGGGAGTGGCACGGGACCGATTCATCTCAGTAACATATCGTGTACTGGACTTGAAGATAACTTGGAGCAGTGTCTGCACACTAGAAATCCAACCCACAACTGTAATCATAGCCAGGATGCAGGCGTCACATGTGCACCATCAGGTATTGCAAATTGAAATCATTTGTCAATCTTGCTTTCCGATGTAGTTTTTCAAATTACTCCTCTATTCAATTCAAAATACTCAAAGATTAATGTCTTTGTGAGTGTTTTTTTTTCGTTTGTTCTACAGTCCGTTTGGTCAACGGCATGGTACCTACGGAGGGGCTTGTCGAGGTGTTCCTTGGTGGTTCCTGGGGATATATCTGCGACTCTGTTTTACCCCCAGCCTGGGATTTGGATGCAGCTAATGTCGTTTGTCGGGAACTGGGCTTTGTCAGCGCAGTGCAAGCCTTGCGATGGCCAGGTCCTTCACCACCGGTACTCCTCAGTGATGTTGATTGTGAAGGAGACGAACGGTCTCTCCTCGAGTGTCGTGTTTTTAATAACAATCAGCTTTGCCTGCCTGGCGATGGAGTAGGTGTGAGATGCAGTAAGTTAATTACACTCATCGGGGTTAGATTGACCCAGAATTGGGTCCCATTCGGTATAACCCTTTTCTGGGTCAAATATGACCCAAAAAGGGTCAAATATGACCAAAAAGAGGGTCATAGTTTGACCCAGAAAAGAGTTCTGACCAGGAAGTTCTTAGAGTGTAGTCCTACCTACTGATTATGGATTGCAAAATGATCAGATGTCTTGTAATGTAAATGAAGTTCGTAGGCCTACACAAAACAAATTTACACAGGCTTGTTTCTAGTAACACTGAAGTTTTTCATCTTATTTCAAATCTTCTACCGCATGCTGAAGTAAAAATGTGTTTTTAACCATTTTTTTTACAACTTTGTAGACCCGATACCCACATAATAATGGACACTGGTACTTCTTCTTGTTGTCCATTGCCAAAAACCTAACTTTTTATTGGTTTTTTCTGTCCCTGGCAGTTGTTGGTTGTCAGATAGCTCCCGAGCCTTTTAGTATTGTCATGATCCGACCACCTCAACGGGTTGCCTATAGTCCCGGTGAATCGGTCAGGTATTTCTGCCTGGACGGTTATCTGCTCGTTGGGTCCGCTGTACGAGTATGCCAGTCTAACCAGACCTGGTCCGGTCAGCCAGCGGCTTGCATCGAAGGTAATTGTTACGTTTTGTTTGTCTGTTAGAAAGTTCTGCTCTGCTTGTTTGTTAATTTTTTGTTTGTTATTGGGTTGTTCTTTTTCGATTTAGGGATTTGCAGACTTTGTTGAAAAAAGAAAAACCTGAATAAATAATGAATATTATCAAATCGGCAGAAAAGAGAAGTCAAAAGTGGTTTATTATGGCTATAGTACGTCTAAAATTAGGATTGTGTTGACACGTCTTACCATAATTGGTGTATGGACAATAATCACAAATGGCACTGGTAATAGTTACCAAATTAAAAAGGCTTAAACTAATGCCTATAATAGGCATGAGATATGAAAACTGATTGTGACTATATGTTAATGCTACAAACAAGGGTATACCGACGTCCACAAGAAATGCACGCTCTCAGGAAAATTTCCCGAAAATTTATGGCAAATGGTTTTGCATAGATGCCAATTTATTCCCGCAGAATATTCGGGGGTACGGTATAATTCCACATTTTGCAGGGCAGAACTTCCTCCTACTTTCAATCAATGTTAATTGAAACCGTTACAAACTATAGCTGCCCATTTCCCTCAACTTTACCAAACAGATTTATGTTCCTAATTGACGAAAACATGCGATAGAAAAGCCAAAACAGAATGTTTTGATCGCAGGGCAACAAAATTACGAAACGATTTTGACTTTAGTTAATTAATGACAATTTCAATCGCAGTGGTTTCTCTTGTTTCTTGGACACTTATTGCTCAAACCTCTAGATCCTTGCATCAGTAATCCTTGTTTAAACGAGGCAACTTGCGACAGTGATCCGAATGGCTTCGATTGTGTCTGCCCAGCTGGCTACGAAGGGCCGACATGTTCAGATGGTATTTAAAATCGTCACTTTTATTTTTGTCGCTAAGCAGAGTGTAGTTGTTTTATTGAGAAACTGAAATGTGGCATTCCCTTTTAAGCGTGATATACGTTAAAATGAAACACTATAACTTAAAAACTTATTTTGTCTGGCGTAGAAGGGCTTTCTATGCAAATTGAGAAGTGACTGTCGATACAAGAAAAGCATCAAACACCGTTAGCGCTGCCGTGGGGTGCGGATTAGAAGAGTGCAACGTTGTTGATAATTTAAGAGATATTAAAGCGAAATCGGGACCGGAAAAACCAGGAGAGTAATGGAATTATTCAGCACTTAAATATTGTTAGATTAAATTTCATAAAGATCACAAATGCATCAAACGCTTCGTTAAAATTTACCAACATGGCTGTTGAGATACTGTCATATCAGAAATAGCGCGGGACGGGCTAACAACCCTGGTTACCACGAGTTGAACAGGTATACTCTCTAATTTGTGCAAAAAAACCCCGTTGATTTTCATTTCACAGCGTTTTCGTAGAAACTGAAATTCTGAAGTGACACATACTGGAGAAAATTTTGATTTACCTCATTCTGTAGTTGCCCATTGTGTCCTTGCGCCTAATTCATCCAATGTCATCGTGGTAGTATCAGGCCAACAGGATCTATACCTTCCTGGTGACTGGGTTGAGTATGACTGCCCGGCCGGATATCATCTCAACGGATCTGCTGTCAGGATTTGTCTGTCTGATTTCTCATGGTCGGGACAGCAGACAGACTGTGTTGGAGGTAAGTTGTAATTTGTCATAATCTACTACCTAGGATGGGAACCTACCAAACCATTCCTCAAAAACAAAAACCTACTACTGCCTCTCCACTGATATGAATTCCGGAAGGACTTTCACTGAAAATATTAGCTTGATCAAGCCAATTTCAACTCTAAGACGTTTAAAACTTGCCTGTAGAATATTTTCTTTTATAACACACCTCTTCCTTGTTCTTTATCCTGGTTGGCTGAAGTACAGTCACGTGTGGTTCACTGATATGCATGGGCTCGTACATGAATTTTGCGTCATGCAGCATGACTCGACACGCACCTTGACACTGCGCACGAATCAATTCGAGAGACTAGTGCCTGTCCTGCAGGTCTTAGTCTTGAACATTTTTGACTGGTAATTGCGACCTCTGGAGCTTGCTGGGTTTATTTTATAACGTCATTATTTAAACAGTTAAAATCCTGGAAAATCTCTTTTCCTAGTCGTATATAGAGACTCAAAATTAGACTGCGTTTATGAAAACTAAAATTAACCTTTAATTTTTAAATAGGTATTGAGTTCAAGTTGAATTAAAACTGTTAAAACCCTGAAAGAATGTTTTCTAGTTTTAAGGTGTGCTATAAACACATATGGGCTGGCCAAAGTTGGCCACTAGTGCACGCCTATGTCCCCGAGGCACTGTGACTGACCAGAAGAGGGTCCTATTTCCCGAGGTCAAAGGCAATATACATGCACCTAGTATAAATATGAGGCCTTTTTTGGACACTGACATAAAGACAGCTGTGATAAAAGTCAAATAAATGAATAAGAATCATGATAACATTAACGTGAATTTTTATCTGACAAATTGGTTTTCCAAAGTGACTCTTTCTTTTCCCCTCCAGAGAATTGCGGCGACAGACCATGCTTATATGGGGGTACCTGTACCAGTTCAGTAGACGGGTTTACCTGCAAGTGTCCATCTGGTTATGAAGGACGAATATGTGAAACAGGTAATATACTTCCCATTTGTACCATAGGCCTATTTGTGATAAAATATATAACTTTCTTGAAGGTTTATGGCTGTACCCAATACATTGATTAAACCTGACAGCTTTACATGTTACTTAAATGCGTACTTCTTCCGAAATGTGGTTGACTATACCGACTGGTCAGAGTTCGGTTAACTAATGTTTCTGGTATCCAGCTAAATGTACGTGAATGGTCGCAGTTTCTGGGGTTTGGGTATGATTAGTTTCTTATCTGTAGGCTACTATCTCGCACACCGACGTTTGTTTCGTTGCTGGTGTATTACGATAGTTTGACCATTTCACCTATGTTTTTGTTTCCTTAGTTGTTCAGTGCGTGCTTCGTCCCGACCCAGCTGATTTACTGATGGTGGTTTCAGGTCAGCAGTCGGTCTACCTTTCTGGTGACACAGTTGAGTATGATTGTCCCAACGGTTATCATCTTGACGGATCCGCCTCAAGGATTTGCAAGTCAGACTTTACTTGGTCTGGCCAACCCGCAGTCTGTGTTGCAGGTAACTGCGTTTTCATCTGCGAAAATGTAAGGGGCGGAAGTAACCGATGAAGCTACATTTCTGCACTATGAATTGTGAATTAAGGGTTTTCAAATCAAAGCGAAAATGAAGAAACTTTTCTGGTTAAACTATCTTTCGAGGAAGAATACGAAGAGCAGACGGTGTAAGGCGAGTGCGTTGAAAACTAAAAGTTGAAGTGTATGGACAAATGCTTAAGTTTGAAACTAAATAGCATTTTTGTTTAGGATTATCGACATCTAATCTCATGTTTAAACAAACGACACCAACAGTAGTTAAAATAAATGAGTGGAATACTTCCAAGGGCTAAAATGTACAGAAGAGGAAGATAGTGAGATTGACCACAACTGTTGATAACTGACCTTTTACTATCGTTTAGAAAATTGCGACAGTGCACCGTGTATGTACGGGGGGACCTGCATAAGCTCTGTCGAAGGGTTCACCTGCATGTGTCCAGCTGGCTACAAAGGTCGCACGTGTTCAACGGGTAAAATAAATCCTTTTCAAGTGTTGCAGATGTGATATTTTATAATTAACCGAAGTCAATCACAGCTGACTCATAATAACCTTTAGAGGCTTTACAAGGGAGCTATTTCACTTGGCAGTTCCATGTTTTGTTTAAAAAGTTATGTACAGTGACCAAAACGTTCTATCATTTCACCATCTCCATCATCATACAAATCGTTTATTTTTGTACGTAATGTAGTGCTATACATAACGGTGATATTTTGGGCTATTTGTCCCTCAAAGGTCTTGACTTTGTCATCTATTTTCAGTTGCCCAGTGCATGCTTAATACCCCTGACCTCTCGGGCAATCTGACGGTGGTATCAGGCCAGCAGGCTGTCTACCTTCCTGGTGACTCAGTTACGTATGACTGCCCGGATGGATATCATCTCAGCGGGTCCGCCACGAGGATATGTGGGTCAGATTTCACCTGGTCCGGGCAGCCTGCTCTTTGCGTTGAGGGTAATTAACAATTAAACTTAAAAAGGTAGCATTCTAGAGACTATCCAATACAACAACTAAGACGTTGAATCGGCAAGCAAAAATGTTACACGTTCTTTCGTCATATTAGTCAACAATATTATTTTCGTTCAAATTCAGTAATTAATATAAAAATGTATAATGTAAAAAACAGGGAGAGACGTGGTCTATTCATTCGATGCAGAAAAGTAATTGGCACTATTTCATGTTAAACACTTTTGACTAATGAAAATCTGTTATTGATGTTCAACAGATGATGTTAAATCTGCAGGTGAAACGATGAAATTTAATGTATATTTTCAAATTGTTACGTTCTCTCAGAGAATTGCGACAGTGCACCGTGCCTGTATGGGGGAACTTGTGTGAGTTCTGTCGACGGGTTCACCTGTAATTGTCCAGCTGGCTATGAAGGTCGAACCTGTGCAAATGGTGAACAATCTCATTTTTAAAATGTTTTCGACCCTATTTTCTTTACCCCCATGAGTTTTCCCGAAAAACAAAGAAACAATATGCATGCACCTACGTACACATTAAAACCATTCGTTCTGATGTAGCCATAACTTACAGTCCTCTGCGGGGCGGATCGCCCAAAACAATGAATAAATAAAATATAAAAGTGGAAGAAAAGAGGGAGGAAACCGCTCATAAATGTGACAAAGGTGTAAAAACGGTTTTCGGCTTAATTTTTTTTTGTTCAGCCCCTCACCCCACTTTTGGAAAATCCTGGAACCGCCCCTGCCCGTAGTAAGGTGCGAGATCTTTAAAAGGAACATTTTGATCTGACCCCCCTCCCCGACAAATACTAGGTGCAACTGACTGACTAAGTCATTGCTCTCATACGCCTATATTCTTAATAGCTAAGAATAACTTCAGCCAGACAAAATTGAAAACTTACTGAGACATTTAATAACCTCCCTTGAATTTGTAACCACAGACCACCCGCACTTTCTTTTCAGATTCACGATGCTTGAGCATATTTCAACTCTAGTAAATTGTGCTGCAAATCGTTTACTTGAAATTCGCTCCGTTAAACGCCTTTGAACGAATTTTATCACGGTCTGAATTGGAAGTATCCAGGAAGATGTTTTGTTGACTTGTTTTCTTCACTCTTCACTTTAGTTGCCCACTGCGTTCTTCCTCACAACCAGGCCAACGTTCTGATAGTGGTATCAGATCAGCAGGCTCTCTACCTTCCTGGTGACACAGTGAAGTATGGCTGCCCGAACGGATATTATCTCAGTGGCTCTGCTGTGAGGGTTTGCCAATCTGACTTCACCTGGTCGGGGTCGTCTGCAGTCTGTACTCGAGGTAATCAAAATGTCTTCAAAAAAACAGCAATAAAGCCAGAAACAATCTGAAAACAAATGCTGAGAATTGGAGGCTTTGTGTAACAATGTAGAATGTAAATGTTGCCTAAAGCTTTCCATTACGAAGTTGTATGCAAAGAAGCTCCTTAAAAAGACTGCTTCCTTGGTTTTTCTGGAAACAAAACCTCTCTGTAGTAGTAGGTGCATTCCTGGAGTGTTGTGTGTTTTTTTTCCTGTCTGTCTGCTTGGACCTGTTAACCACATTGTCCTCGATCCTACTTTCCCTCCCAAGACCCATGTGCAAGCAGGCCGTGTGCTAATGGAGGAAACTGTACTAGTAATCTCGGCACCATCACTTGCCAGTGCCCTGATGGTTTTGTTGGAGCAACGTGCGCAACAGGTAACAGACATTCATTTTTTGCATATCAATTGATAAACATAAAAGTTAGCGCTGCTCAAAGACAGCAAGAGAACGTTGCAACGTTATAAAACATCGTTCTGAAGTCAGTAGACGATGTGGAATCAAACGAGCAGAAGCAAAGAGACACAGGAAAGAAAATGCCGGACATAAAAGGTCGTAAGTGATCTCCTTTTTTTACCCTTCTTCAGAGGACTTTTGCCACAATATTATTGAAAGAACGCAATGATAAAATTCCGACGTGAATGTTTCTCTAAGGTAGAAACAACTCTTCCAAGTCTTGGAGAACCTGATAAGGCTGTAAAAGCCCATGTATAAGGTGGGCTTGCCGCCAGAGGGTTCTTGAAGCTCACTGTTGGAAAGGACGTTGTAGAAATTCCTTTGAGTATATCCTGTCATACCCTAATATTGTAAACGTCTTTATTTCCAACCATAAGAAACCGGCTGTAAGCCTCCAGTTCTATCGGCTAATGTGACCCTCGTAAACAGTGGTGCGTCGTGGTTTGCACATGGATACGAGATAACTCTTACCTGTCAGAAAGGCTACGTCGTAAAGGGCTCTGCCGACCAGTCAGTACAGCAAGTCTGCCGCTCCAATGGGACTTGGTCTGGCAAACTTGTGCAATGCGTTCCAGCCCCGTCCTCAAAGGGTACTAAAGGTAATGTCGGTTGCTTTGTTTGAAGCCACACCCATTTTGATGAAACAAGGTATACACTGAGTCAATATGAAACGACAGCAGTGCATTAACATGCGTTTTAAATACGGAAAGTAATAGCAGCATATACAGAGAAATAATTCATCAGGATCAATTCAGAATGGTTTATTTTAAACTCATGCTAGCACCTGATAACTTATTTTAAGTTCTCTTGCAAGTAGGTATTAATTCGTCACTGGCGATATTGGGACGTCACTAGTTAAACTGCATGTAAGGCATACGTTTTCCGTAGCAGTTATGGCAAACGGCTTTCAAGCACTTGGATTGAATATGATTGCATGTACAGCCAATGAACGCCACGACCATCCTAGCTAGGCCCCTAGCTTTCTACATTTGTTGCATAAATTCATCTCAATAACTTTAGAGTACTTAGGGCATTTCAAGTGGGATAAGACATACAGATATCTTAGATCTCAGATATCTGTATTTCGTCAACTTTTCACATCATACTGCTCAATTGTACTAATGTCGTTAAAATTTGTTTAAAGATGTGCAACTCGAAAATCAGTCTGCTCGCAACAAACTTGCTCTCTGTCAAGAATGTATGTTAACGACAGTCTCATTGTTCTTTTTTCAGATAAGTCCAGTTCATCTGTTCCCTCAATTGTCGGTGGTGTCGTTGGTGGCATTATTTTGCTCATTCTCGTGATCTTGTTAGCTGGCGTCCTCATCAAGAAGTAAGCTAATTAAAGTAATATATGCCAATGTGTCACTCAAGTTACTAGCTAGTTAAGGTATAGGCAATAATTTGTTGAATTTTGGGTGTCATTTACAGCCTTGATTATGGGTTCACGGTGATACCACGGTAATAAGATACAAATTCAATCCACTTATGTATTAAAACAATCATACGGAAAACGTGCATAGCTGTGCTACATACGGAAGAAAAAATAATGTCAAAGATAGCGCTTAATGACCTAATGATGGAAGATACGTTTAATGTTAAGTGCAATTAGGTTGAAAACCCTTTATAGTGCATGACATTTCGTAAGATGTGTTAATTAAAAAATGACAGATGTCACGTTATAGTTGAATTCTTGACTCAAACACACGTTTTCTCTGACAAGATTTCGACGGTTCAATCGCACGAGTAATTGTAAGTTTTCTGTCCCGTTTTGAAACTAACAGAGTGTGCAATAACAGTCATGCAAAGCTTATACAAAGACCGGCTTTAAACTCTAAGCTTAGTTACAAGAATCTTTTCAAAGGTACTTTTGAGTCCAGAACTGTAATTCATATTTTTACTGACTTTGATTAAGAAAATAGTAACCATACACCCAAGAGCTTCTGCATAAACAGAGTTTATATACATGTTATTAGAAAACTTTGCCCAAAGGCTCATGTATATATTTCCTGCATGTTAATTAGGTTACAAGTCAATTTTGATGACATTCGACCTCACTGTACTTTTTGTGCCTAAGTTTTGTTCTTTGTTTTTGTTCAGGTGGAGAAATCACAGAGGCAAACAGACTTTCCTTGGGCTCCAAGGCGACGATCTTAGTCTGTCAACCTACAGTAATCCCGCATTCACCCAATCTACCGATTAGTTTTCTAAAACATGATAAACTAGTGAAAAACTCCTGAATGACACAAACAGTTTATTTTATACGTAAAAGGTTTATGGTAAGGCAATACTCAGATAAATTCAAAAGTTACATCTTTACTTTTTCCTACCGCTTTTACGGCTTAACTAAGTCGCACTACAGTTGAAGTTGATGAGGTTGTACCCAGCTTGAGCACGCGCATATAAATTAGCTCCATATCAGAAGTATACCGAGATAAAAATTACTGTAATGTACTGGTAAACCTACTTCATGTACGGGAACGAGACATATATCTCTAGAAAGGGCAGAATGTCCTCTTTGTAATGGTATACAGCTTGTGATGTTAAGGACCTCCAGTATAATACTTGAGCGTATTTTATGCATTAACTCTTCAATAAGTCAAAGAATTCATTGGAAAACGGAAATAACATTTACGATAAATAGTCTAGTGTTTGTAAGAAAAAGTTGTAAAAGATAAGAATATAAGTTTTCTTAATTGCTCTGTATAAACAACGATGCGAGAATTTTTTTATATAACTGTAAACTAACTAATGTTACAGGAATCTTGTTTCCAGGCCCCCCTATTTTATTGAATTTCAAGTTATACCCTGTGTTTTTCTTTTGAATGTATATACACTTAAATGCTCCACATGGTTAACCAAGAATATGTTTGAAAGAATTATCTAACTATTCAGAATGATAAAAGCAAGAAAAATTTGCCACACAAGGATCTGGTTAATACACGAAATTTTCAAGTTAGTTTGTTAAAAATTCCACCTCATACTTTCACATTGAATGCAAATTGCTATAATATGACTTTTTGGGAAAAATTAAAGACAGAAGGACAGCATAGCTTTCTGAATCACATTCAGGTAAACATAATACTCTACACACCGTCTTAAGAACTATGCAGCTTCAGTGTCCATACTATGCAGAGTACTCACTTGTAGCTTTTGCCCGACTGATGCCGCAGGACTAATGTCACGAATGGATTATGAGCATGAAATAGGTATCTATTGTAGTACACGCGTGGGCGTGTTGAAGGGATAATGATGCGTGCGCGATCCGCCCCTCAGGAAGAATTACAATGAAGCAAATAAAAAGGAAAGAAACGAAAAAGGCGGAAAGGGGTGATGCTACTAAAATAATGTCGGCCCAGGCCACTTACCAACGTAAGCGGTTTGTCAGTTTGTAGCTGTTTTCCGCTTCCCTCCAAATCGTGGCCGCGCCCATGAGTGTAAATGGGCAAGGGAAAGAAAATTTAGAAATTACTCATTTGCGTGTCCTGCTGGAGCACATGGCGACCACCTTACCACTACCCGCCCTATAGGGGTGCATGTTGTCTTGTGTTATTGGAACAGCGCCAACACTTTAGAAACGGCTTCCTCTGGGGGCACTGACAGTGCACATTCATGAAAAAATTAGAAAAGCTCATTTGCCCTTCCAAAGACTGGAAGTTGGATCAGGCCTATGCCACCGAAACTTTCACTAGTATTAAGCTGATTTGATGTTTTAATTTCGTAGGGGTAATAATACGATAAATGTTATGCAGTGTACTCTGAATAATTATACTCAGAATGAGTATTAAATGAGCTTAATTTGCATACTTTTCTGTTATCCAAAATGTATGAATAGCTTTCTTTCGATTTTTACATTTAGCGATTTTCTGCGTTCTTGTCTTCTCTCGCCTCTAACCTTGAGTCAGGCTTCGTGGAATATGCATAGCAGCGATCTTGGTTCTGATTCAGGTAAAACAAAAAAGTTGTCATATTAACCAAGTAGTTTGATTTCTGGCAATGCAATGTGCATTAAAACAACCTCAAACATAGTGATTCAACAACAAAGCACTGTGTTTTACAAACATACACCGACACGACCTTAGGCATCTTTAGAATGGTACGCGTAGGCCTGCTTGGTGTCAGAGGGAGTGCAAACATTCTCTCCCATTACATCTGTCAGAATCAGTGCATTTTTCTTCCTTCTCTGGGCCATCATACGGTCAGAACACTATAGTTGATCCTACTGGTAGTCACTTTTATCCTAAATGGTATAAAAGGCAGGATTACTGCCTGTTAACGACAGACTCATTCTTACATTCATACATTTTTCGATCAATGATCGATAAAAACGTATTTATTTTCGAAAATACATTAAGACAAATGCTAAAAAGTTTTAAAAGTCTTGTTTGCGAAAATATAAATGTGACTGTTTTGAATGACATATAGGTGTGGCGACCTTCAATGGACTTGAGTCATGTAAGAAAAGCCGAAGCCAATGTGCGATTTTTTGCATGCCGTAGTCTTACATGTAGACGCCGCACGGCGTGTTGCCAACATAGAGTACAATATAAACTGTTGAATATATTTCTTGTAACATAAAGCCAAAAGTTTGTTTTTCACACACGGTCATGGATGGCCGAACAATCATTTTTTTCGGGGGGGGGGCAATCGGACAAAGGGGGCTTGGGACAAAGTTTCACTTGAAATGCCAGTATAAATCCTATTCGGTTCTCCCTCTCTCCCATGAAATGTTTGTAATTAATAGACCAGACGTGTTCTAAATTCAGTCAGGTGAATTATTACATCTCTTAATGATTGCAATGATTTACTTTTCATAGGTTTTAGGCCTACAAACAACATGTGTATTAGTTTGCTCATAAAGTTACCATTATTGTGCAAGATAGTTCCGCTACTGCTGAGAAGTGAGTTTTTGTGGTGACGGAGTACGCTTGTACCCAAGCAATATAGTGCAAAAAATATTCCAAGAGAGATATCCCGACCGTGGACCTCCAGCCTCCAGCCAACCATTTAGAATTTTGTGTTTATTTATATATGCTCTGTATATACAGAGAGAGACGCGACACATCAGAACTGTGGGAAGCAAACTAGCAGGTGTATGACCCTGTGTACACGTTAAGTTGGCATAAATTACTTCCCCGATCTACTGTACGTACGCTGCTCTGTACTTTTCATCTCTGTCTTTCACAGCTGATAAGAGTAAAGACAGAATGGAACACCCGGTGGAAATGCTCGTAATCCTCATAACCAGATTCGCCGCGCCCGTGCTTGTTAGGAATTAAAGGGCCTTCTTGCCTTGGGTGGAGAGTGGCAGAATACGAAGGGCGGGAAGATGTAAGTCATGCTGCCGAAATGGGATTTGAAAGGCGAAAATCGATTACAGATAGAAATCTGGTATCTTAAAAATAGATGATGATAAATATATAAGAATTAATTGTATGGAAATAATCTGGAAAAGCCTACTGTTTCCCTTTGCGTTTCCCTTGCGTTTTCAGAACACGATTCCGGCTAAAAGCTAAGCAAAATTTGTCAGTGCTAACAAGGAAGGACAAGAACCGATAGTAATCGCTTGTTGCAATATACAATTCTGCACAATTCAATGCACAATCTACAAACTATTGTTTTGGCCCTGCAAAAAATCAAAATAAATGAAAAGCTGACACTGACAAAGATAAGGGGCTTACGATATTTTAGGCCGGAATTTCATATTTTTTCAATACTTTCTAAATCCTGTTCATTTTATGAAGTGCATATGTCATTGCTTATGACTGCAGTATCTTAGATTTGTACAAACCTAAAAAAAGACCTAGCACAGGGAAGTTCCTTGGTAAAAATAACGCATCTACAGTTGTAAAAAAAACCAAGGAATTAAGTCACATTATATAAACTTAGTATACCCGTATGCAGTGGATACAGTACAACAGTGAGACACCGTGAATACAGTGCTTTTCTGGTGAGGCTATATTGTTGATTTAATGGCTATTTAAAGCATTTTTATTCCAATTAATGATTTCGAATATCCCAATCAGTCTAAGAATTGTACGTATTATTGGAAAAGTGGATTATGTCATTTGCCATTCAACTTCAAAAAATTGCAAAAGAGAAATATTACCTGGAACCATTTTTCACCTGTTCTTTATGTAACAATGAAGTTTGATGAATCCTGAAATATTCTTGTCAATAAACTGTGTGGCAAACAACACATTCTATTTTCTGATTGAAACAGTTCAGTGAAAGGAAGATGAAATCGAGCACTCCTTTCCGAAAATCTGTGCTTTGAATTTGATTCAATAACATTTCAGATTGTGTGACAACAGACGAAACTAAAATTGGATATAAACGAAGTCGATTCCCTTAGAAATTGAAAATGTAAACCTGTGAATTTGAATAAAATATGTACTAATAGCCCGGCAATTTATCTATTATAAACATTTTAATGGCTATGTATAGGATTTGCAAGATCCAAAAAACTGGACTGCCGAATTATCTTGAAATATATTAGTATAAAGTAAATACATTATAGTGTCAGGAAATCAGTGAAATTTTACCGCCAGGAACGCTGTCATTTTCGAAAAAAGAGAAATTTTATATTTTTTTTCCAAAGATCGCCCGGGTTCATTCAAATACCGTAACCGTAAACAGGGGCAACGAATGCCGGAGAAACTTTGAGCTTTTGGAGAGTCTATACAACTCCAGTAAGCTTACACTTATTGTAACTAATAAAACAGTTATATAATCGTAAATAACGGCCTAAAAGATAATTTTGACAGGTTTAAAATTTGTGAAACTTTGCAAGTTTACCTCACGTGAATATGTCATCTCTGCATCACCCCATTGAGATAACGGTGTGGTCCAAACTGATTATGCCCGTTCCTAGCCCCTTCGGGGCTCCTTTTCTCAAACAATATATGCAATTTCGAGATATTTCTGTTTTTCCAATCACTGTAACTTTTATGTCCAAAATGCTAGGATCATTTGTTGATCCATAAAGTGTTAACGATGGGCACTGACAGTGTGTGGACGGTTTTTGATCGAAGTAGGCCTACGTGTGAAGTGCGAACAATATGGCTACTTGGTCAAACGTGCATGAGTACGTTGTGGTCACACAGTGACTGTGGTGACTGCTGTCAATTCACTGCACGATGAAATAGTGTTCACATATTCTCAACAATGCACTGGTCAAGAGGAACTACTGTTACAACGCAAAGCCCAAGAATGCATTTTTGAGGGCCATAATTGGTCTGCAGATCAAACTCGCCTCTGCTAGGCACTCAGGATCGTCCCGTGGCCAATGGCATTTTGTGAAAAACAGATTACACGAGAAGCGCTTTTGAAACTACTAAAACAAAGAGTAAACCATGTCAAAACGTTCGCAGTGCATATAGTTTACCACTTTTAATATCTACGTGTACAATGCACATAAACCCATAAAAGAAACTAGAGGAATGTGAATGTGAACAAACACAGAGCTGCTTCGGATTCAGAGACTTTTGAAAACACCATTTTACATTTGTCATCTATTTAATTTATGGAGGAAATGGTTAACAATCGGTTAAAACTTTAAATCTGTGTCACCCTGACGTATGTCGTACTTCAGGAGATGCGGTGCTTTGAAGGGAACACCCGTTTTTGTCACATAACCTGTCAGGTGGTGAGATCCTCCTCACGATATGTTCGTTTATTAATTACCCTTCCCTTCCTAACTATCTGCAAAGTTGCAACACTATTGTTCGGGTATAGTTCAGGAGATACAGTGCTTTGAAAGATGCACAATTAATGTCAAGTGACTTATCATGTGAAGGTGTAATCATCCCATGATATCAATTTACATCAGAAGCTACGCCCTTTCTTTCTATGTGCCAAGTTTCAACCCAATTGGGCATGTACTTCAGGAGATGTCACTTCTCACTTGAACCTACATTACGTGACGATTACGATGATGTCATCGTTATATCAGGTCTATTTTCGTCTTTCGAAAGAGATAAATCGTACAAAATGTCAAATAAAGAAGAGTGGAAAAAAAACTCAAATCAGGTGGTAATGCCATCGTGACATCACCACATTTTTTCAAATGTAACACAACCCCGTTTGCATTCCTACCATAGTGCTGTAGCTCTATGATCCATACCAAATTTTAGCCTCGTTTGACTTGGTGTTCTTGAGATATTGGTCTGCAGAGAATTCAACTGTGCAGGCATGTCATGTGATTTAAAAAAAGTCATTAAGATACTAGTGATCTGAGACAGAGCAAAAGGGACTTCAGGACACGAAATCGTCCTGTCACTCATCTGATATTGTTACAACTGTGGCATAAGAAAGTCACTTTGAGGCGTTACTGTTCATGTCTGTGGAAAAGTGCCTACTTAACAATCGCAAAACAGATAACGAAAGCAGGGGCTTTCGTGTTAAAGTTCCGTATAACTGATATCTACGACGGTCACATAAGAGACTTGCAAGTGTACACACACTACTTGAGCTTGTACAGGAAACGTAGTTTGTCAGTTTCAATTTCAACTGAGTCTTCCGACCATAAACTGTACACGTTGTAGGAATATTACTGGCTGGTATGGGACACACTGCCCGATCACGTATCTTTAGTTCAGCTTTTGCAGATCGAGACCTTCACGTAAAGTTTATGAGATATGCACAAAAAGCTGTCTACTCTCTCCCTTATGCATTTCAGACTGCCCAATTCTAGCATTATGAAAAGTTTTAATAAACGTGCTGAAGTTTTTCAGTGGGTGTCAACTTGCAAATGCTGGTTTGTGTTACATACTTCGCAAATAAATGTGAATGATGGTCGGAAGGGCTCATAATAATATGATAATTTTCGATCCACTGAAGTAAGAAAGGATTAAAGTACACTGACGGTTTATTTAAGCCATTTTTTAATAAAGTTTCGCTCCCTTGAAATCCACCCACTGTGCGTACGCACCCACTGTATTACCCCCTACCCTGCAAACACATTTTGTGAGCCGTCCCTTTTTCCATTGTTAAGTCAGTCTTACACGTAAACCACAAAGTAAATCAGTTCTATTCCATTCAATTGGTTTTGTTTTCCGTCTCTTCTAATATTGTTATATTTAATGCTTTTTTAATTAAAAGACATCTGCCACAGAGGCAGAATAATACGTGTTAAAGTTCATTCTAATCTGTCTTTAGAGCAGTAACACCACTTCAAGAAGTTGTTTAATGATTAGAACAAGTTGTGATAAATAGAAACTAAAAAAACTACAGTATAGTTTACGCGTAACATCTTTCATGGGTTTGGCCCCTGCAACTCGCCGGTTGCAAACAAAGGTTTATATAACCATCTCAAGCAATGCACTGTTTCATACCACTAATATTCAACATTCTTCCTTTCCTGCTCCTTATCCCCCTCTTCTGCTTTATTGTCCAATTATAATTAGCATGTGATACTATATTAGAATCAGTTGCAGTTTTTCATCGATGACAACTGTGCAATGCTCCTTCCGGAGGCAAATTTCCAGGATTTTGTTGGGGTCTTGCAAAGGTCACTGTCACGGGTCTCTTGACCAAATCAGCAATCTGCTTACATAATTTATGTGAAGGGTTGCCGATCTGGGTTGGTGGCTTAAAACTCGGGTTTCTTCTCCTGAGTAACAATATTGATAGTTCTGTTCATGGTTTTTAAATAAAGGGTATTCAGTTTAACACGAAACATGCAGTAGTCCCGTTAGCAACACCATCTCCAGAGTTACGAAGGTGGAAACCCTTTGGCAAAAATTATCCAAGCGCAACGTCCTGCCCGAAAGCAACAGTCAGCAAGACCACTGCACGGCATTGCGATCAAGATAAAAACGTTCTACGCAAGCCAAGCCAACCATGAAAGAAGCCCTAAGACGGAGCAAGCTGCAATTCAAGAACTCAGGTAGGACAACACCACCAAGTCTACTAGGTGGTTAGATACCTCTGTTCTTTTTTCAGTATATTAATAAAAGGCACCAACTCAAGCCAGTAGTTAATGCCAACTACTTCGCATCACTACAACCTTTAGACCCTATCAATCACTTTACATCGTGGTAAGTAACGGCATCGTTCGAAGTAAACTTATTCGGAAGTGTACTTCTTATTGATGAAGCAATACCAGTCCTTTCCGCAGACCACGTTCCTGCTATGTTAACAATGATGAATCGGAATGAACCGCCGCCTTCCCTCACCAACCGTTTCATCACGTTGCACAAAATCGTCGATCTATAGCACATTGGCGCCTAGGGCATAGAAGACACACAAACAAGACAGAGTCCAGACAGTGGCGTAACCGGCAGGACATGGGCAAAATCCCCCGTGGTAATTCTCCCTCCTCCCCCATTGACTTTTGAGGGAGGGGCCGTCGCCTTTCTTAGAGTGCGTTACTTAGGGATAAACCTAGACCTATTTAAAAGGTTCTTCGAAGAGCCGTCCGTAGCTAGTGTATTGGTGAGGATGCAACTGCCCCTCTCCACGAATGTAACTAAATCCAGCAAGGGCTCCTGCTCACCCAGACGATCCTCCGATTCCATACCGGCTGATCAACAACACTAACCTAATGCTTATGGCAGTCGGGTCACCAACTCCAAATAAGACAATCCCAGGTATGCCTCCCCCACACCCACTAGATACGTCTGATTCCAGTAACAGCTCAGCAGAACTCTACCATTCCAAGCCTGGCAGAGCACAGGTTTGGAGGGGAAATTGGAAGGAACCTCTTTGCCAGATTGAGACCAAAGTGAATTAACTGATAATATGCAAACCTGGACAAGTAAGCCCCTGATAGATCTACACCCACACCGCAGACCACCTCATTTTCTGGGAAATGGGCACATTCATCCCCAAAATCGAGACTTTGCATTCAGGACACATATGGTCGGTCATGTTTACAATAGAGAAAAAATCATTTGCCAGATTGGTATCATCATAGTAGCTACTGCAAGGTTCCCCGCTCTTCTTTTCAAAGTGAATTTGAAAAATGTTTTTTAAGAAATTCGGTACAATTATCCACTACCACAACCATCCCCGGGTCGTTAGTACGTTTAATATCACCAGCAACATCAAGAAACGGTTCCACCTTATTAAAAGAAGAGGTCAATTTTATAGGGATGCTGGTGCTTCTAAAAGAAAAGTGTGAAAACTTGAGTAAATATGTTGGGTAAGTTGCACTTGATAATGTCTAAAATAAAGGTTTTGTTTACCTCTAATT